TGTTTGTTGGAGGTCAACCAAACTGAGGGTCCTCATGGAAATACCAGGTCAGACTAGCTTAAGGTGTCAGCTACTATATTGCTTGTCCATGTTGATCGAGAAACTCATAATTGCTTGACCATGATGGTCGATCATCTTGCTGAGGTATAGCAGAATACCTTGTTCAAGGGTCCTGCTGGAAAAACCCAGTCATACCAGTGGCCAAGCTGTTTTATGCAACATGTTAGCTGGCTCGTTGGTGGTCAAGAAGTTCTTATCAGCTTGACGAAGATGCTCTACTAACAGGATGAGGTAGTAGACCAGGGCTCTTTAACTCCAGTCTTGGAAGGCCAGTGTTCTGCTAAGTTTACCTATAACCCTAACCAAACACATCCAAACAAGTTAATCAAGATGTTTAGAGTTACTTGCAAATTATAGACAGGTGGGTTAAACTGGAATTAGCACTAAAGTCTGCAGGACACTTTCCCTCCAAGACTAGAGTTGACGAGACCTGTAGTAGACCACTTTGTAAAGTTTCTCTCTTGAAAAGCCAGGTCAGACCAGCTTAAGGTGGCAGCTAGTTTATTGCTGGTCCATGGTGAAATCATGGTCGAGAAGCTCATAATTGTTTGATTGATATGGTCTACCAACTGGCTAACCAAATGTCCTGCTTAAGGTGTTCAGGATTCTTTAAAGAATATGAAAGCTTTGTTTTGGTTTATAGTGATTGAAAAGCTCTTGCCAGCTTGACTGGAATGGTCTACCAACCTGCTGAGGTAGTAGACTATTTTGGTCAATGGTTCTGTTGGAAGAACCAGGTCACCAGTTTAAGGTGGCCAAGCTGTTTTATAGAAGCTTGTTTGTTGGTGGTCAAAACGTTCCAGATTGACCAATATTGTCTACTAATTTAACCAGGTCCCCAGAATATTTTGTGATACCTGATCCACACCTACACCACACTTGGTCACCATTTCTCCTAGCAAACTCATAAACTCCTTGTGTGGCCTCAGTGGTTCTTCTGCTGTGAAGATGAACTATAACCAGCCCAAAGTCGATAAAATGTAAAGATAAAGAGAGCCATAAACATAAACACCAACTTGGCATCTTTCAGTGAGGTCTTCCTCAGTCGGTATGGAAATGGCTGGTGGGTGGATGAGAGGACAAATACAGCCATTTGCTCAAAAATCCACCCAGTAAGAGCAAAGCTCTGTGGTGCTTTTCTCCTCCTCCATTCCTCCTCCTCGTTAGAGACCTAGAGTGCAGCGTCACATTTGTCTGAAAGACAGAAACATGTTGCACTTTACGGGCACATCACTCTATAAAAAGTGGCCTCTAGGGAAGGAAACGCCAGCAGCAGATTGGCTGGCTTTATGTCTGCTTGCTTGGATGTTTTATGCTCTGCCTTTGAAAGTAAGCACAAATGAAATAGTTTGAATCCTACCTGTAAAATCAGACAAAGATGACTGAAAATTAAAGCACACAAACAGTGGGTAATTTACTAAGAATGGATAGCCCCCACTGATAATGGCATTTATTTGCATGTATGTTCTAGGTTGTTTTGCGGCCTATTCACTAAAAGAATCCCGTAAATCAGATAATGGTGCAACGTACCCACAAAATCATTACCATTTGCACAGAATTGTTTTAAGATACTATTGTAAGTAAACCAGTATTTCTAAAATCTTGTCAGTAGTAAATACAATAATTTCATGTTTACAGTAATTTCAGCAAACAGTATAGAATTGAAAAAGAAACATTACCATGGAGATACATTATGATGCTCTTGATGGTGAACTAACCTTCAGGTCCCAGGTCAAAAAACCTCTTCAAAAGTGGATTCTGGTGGTGCTTCAGGTGAGGTGTAGCCTTCCATAATCCACTGCAAACTCTCACTCATATTTGGTCCCTTCAGTTCCTGAATTCTTTATTTCTTGTTAAATACTCAATTTGCACCCTGTTCTAACTACACGCGCCGCGACATCGCGACACACAATAAAAGGTATGTTTTCCATGTTAATCAGAGTTTTTGTCCTAACTAGCCGCGACGGCGACACTCGAAATTTCTAATTTAGAAGCGGTTTCTATTTCCGCGACGTCGCAGCTGGAACAACAACATACAAACTATATGACAGTAGATAATCTCAGGTGATTATGTGCTTTATTCAAAGTTAAACGTCTCTAATATGAGTTTAAATATAGTTTTGTGTGACCTTATAGCCATACTGAAAGCAACAACAGATAGTTTACCTCAGATCTTGAAAATAAATTAAAGCAAAGATGTCCGTTAAAACTGTGAACTCACTGCGAACCAATGAGTGTATTCCATAACAAAGATGTTATCAGTCACTCAGTATGTACATTTTATTATGTTAAAAAGCTTTAATATTTATGAATTAGATTATAAGCCTATCCATTTCGTTGCGAGTGCAGTGCGCTTCCAGAGAGAGCCCGCCGTGTCGGAAGATTTGGCACACAGTCCTGCAGTGTGACTTCTGCGACGAATGTGAAACTGTCTTCGTTTTTCAAGACAAGCAATGATCAGAATTAATGCTAGAGATTTCTTCTAACCGCATAAACTCCGGCGCTCCAGTCCTCCGCTCACGGAATTCATATGATACGTTGCCTTTGCTATGATAAACACCGGTTGCGCTGCTGTTTTCATGAAATACACATTCTGAGACATGAACTGAAATGAATTGTGAATTTTATTAACATTAAATCGTCCTCCTCCTATTTTCACCTCATAATTATGGGGAGGCTGTGCCTCCCCTGCCTCCCCCGACGAGCCGCCACTGGATCCCACAGTGTCACATGATCATCATGTTCGTACAGTCTGACACAAGTACAATCCCAAAGGACTTTTAAAAAATCGCACAGTGTGAGCCCGGCTTAAAGTCACCATGAAATCAAAATTGAAAATTCTTATTTTTTAATGGAATACTGTAGTG